AAAGAGTTTAGACTGTGTGTTAGACAAAATGGGTAACATGTGAGTGTAATTAAATTGGGTGGGATTTAGGGGCGGAGCCATCCTTGGACTAGGGTGGGCCCGTGCCCCCCTCAAATTTTTTTTTTTTTGACATTAGATATATATTTTTTAAAATAAAATTTAGATATATTTAATTGTGTCCACCCATAATTTTTTTTTACAATAAATATATATTTTTTAAAATAAAATTTAGACATATTTGTGTCCACCTTATTATTGTATTATTGTGATATCAATTAAGATAGACGGCTACTTAAATAATAATTAATTTTTAAATAATGTTATTGAAGCTAATACATTATGATATTAAATCTAAGTGAGTCCCTACATTTAATAATGTCTACAATTCATCTAATGGTCACAATCCATTAGGTTCCTACCAATTAAATTTTAAATTTTTTTTTGGTCAAGATATAAAATTAAATTTCGAAATAGATGCAATTACTATTATAATTAAATTTTTAGAGACAGACATGTCTGAATAATTTTTAGACATATCGCGTTCATTTTTCTAAATTATAAGATTATTTTATTATTGTATAGAAATGAGCGTCATAATGTAATAAATTACAGGATAATAAATGAAAGACTGTTATTATCATTTTGTATATAGAAAAAAAGTATTTATTGATATCATTGATTTGTAATTCTTTTAAATGATAAACAATAACCATATTTAATTGTAAAATGATAATAATTAGTCTCATACGAAGTTTTAATTAATTTACTTTTTTTTTGTTCATTCCATGCAAATTGATTTTTAACCTTTTATGTTTAATGAATTTTTACGCATAATTATAGTAAATATGAATTTATGAACTTCTGTAGTCAATTGAAAAAAAAATAAAAAATATTATTTAAATATAATTTGATGACATAATTCAATGCACCCCTTTGATTGAAAGTAGACTTCATCTAACATTGAATTTTACAACTAAAATAACAGTTAAATTGAATTAAGTTATTAATAATATTGATAAAAAAAAATAATTAAAATTTATTAATGTGCTCACCCTAATGTATTTTTCTCGCTCCGCCCCTTGTGGGATTTTATTTTTGTGTGGAATGTGTTATGAGTCATTGGATTAAGTTTGATGAATTTAGATCATTTAATTTAAAATGAATTTAATTTGAGTTGTTATTGTGATTTGTAAAATTTAAGATAGGAGATGTATAAGAGATAGAAATGTAGAGTCTTACAATAAGAAGCTTTTTTATGGGCGGGAAAAGAAATTAAGGACTAACTGTAGACTATTAGATCAAAATTTTTGAGATGATCTGAACCGTCTTTTATGTTAGGATTACGTTGTCCGTTAGATGTGTTTATGTTTTGTCTCAAAACGATCTAGACCTTTGTTTGTCTTTTAGATTCAAACTTCGTTCTATTTTATTATATAGATATACTAGTAATTGCTCGTGCCTGAGGCACAAAGTAAAAAAAAAAAATTGTGGTTAGTTAAAAGGCATACCAAATCAAAATAATTGGTGTAACACATAAAACTAACTGTTCAACAATACTTATAGTAATTTTATACTTATATATTTATATATATATATATATTTATATATTATTCACCTATTATACCGTTCAAATATTATAGTAATTTTATTTCAATACAAAATATGATATATATTATAGTCAATCGACTCGTTTTGACGCAAAGAATCTGTATTTGAGGTATATTTATTTATTTAAAAAATTTAAAAATAATTCTTAATTATATAAAATCATAATTAACGACCTAATTAATGTGTAGTATGAGATAGAAAGAGAGTTATAAGAGTGATAGGAGTCTTAGAATTGTGGAAGAAATGAAAATCTTGTTCAAAAATTTGGGGGAGAAAGTTTCACATTAGGACTGTTGGATCAATAATCGTTAAATAATCTGAGCCACGAATAGCTAAAGATAAAGAAATCTATCTACTTTATTATATAGATATATATAAAGAGAGAGAAAAGAGATGAGATAAGAGAGAGGAGATGAGATAGTGTGTCTAAAACACCTAAGAAATAAGAGAGAGAGAGAGTTATATGAGAGATATGAGTGTTAGAGTTAAGTCCAATTATGATCATCGGATTAGTATTTATGAGATGATCTGAACTGTCTTTTATGTTGAAAATACGTTGTCCGTTGTATATGTTTATGTTTTGTCTCAAATGATCTGGACCTCTTTTTGTCTCCAAANTTTTTATGTTGAAATTACGTTGTCCGTTGTATATGTTTATGTTTTGTCTCAAACGATTTGGACCTCTTTTTGTCTCTAAAATTCAAACTCAACTCTACTTTATTATATAAATATAATAAATCAGCTAGCAAGTTGAATTTTTTCCTCTATACATTTTCTCTCCAAAAAATATCACATCACATGTTCAATCATTTAATATTTAGTTAATTTGTAGTTTAACACAACTTTTATTTTATACATTATTCATACACAATAATATACACATGTTAAAAAATTAGATCGAGTTATGTATTTTGAAAAAAACTTGACTTTATTTTTAATAAAATAATAGGTAAAAATTAATTTTAAATGATGTAAGTAAAGAAATTAACTTTAAATTTAATATAGTTTAATCAATTTTTTGAACACTAGAATCTTATGTTTTATAGTGTCTTCAAACACGGGTTATGACTAGTATATATATATTTGATATCTCAATTGTCTCAATAAATCACTACAGTACTATTGGTTCACGTATCAAACTAATGTCGGATCTTGTGCAAAGTCACCACTAAGGCTAAATTTATGGGCAGTAGAGTAGCCCCAAGTTACCACATCTCATGTGGAATATTCGAACTTTTGAATTGCCCCTCTTGAAAAGTTTATCAAGTAGTTAAGCTACCACTAAGCTAGCCTCTTAGGATTGCCAATATCATATATTATTCATTACACAACTATCAATTTTATTCTAAAATTTTACACGACATAAGTAAAATTTAGATGAAATTATTGTTAAATTATTCAAATAAAGCACACGCTATTTTGTGAAAAAAAAAGTGAATTACACAAAGTATTGGAGGTGCATAGGTTTTTATTTTTTTATTTTTTTATAGGTGAAGCATCTTTGTTTCCCCTTAAAATAAAAATATAGAATATGAAATTTAATTAAAAACTTGGTTCACTTGGTAGTATATAATGAGGGTGGATGTGGTAATAGGTTGGGCCTGGATGGGTGGGGATGGGATGGGATGGGTAGGCTGGGCTGAAGCAGGTTAGTTCCTTGTGGAAAAATCCTTGGCCTTTCCAAGACCAGTCCAGTCTGATCATTTGGACTGATCTTAAATGGCCCAAGCCCAATAATAAAGACCAAGGGCTAGCTTATGCCTAAGCCTAATCATGATGGTCTAGGCCTATTTTTCCATTTTTATTTGGGTTAATTAAAGGTTTGTTGTGGACTTTTGCGGTCAAGAAAGATAGACACGTTTTTTTTGGAGTTCAAGGATAATTAAAGGGATAAAAACTACTTTACCCTTAAAATAACGTCCATTGTCACAGTAACAACAATGTTCGTGTGCAATGAGCGATGACGGAGAATGGTGGTGTTATGGAATGTGACAAGATCTAGAGCATAGTAGAGTAATAGTATACTAGATAGTCTCACGATCACAATAATAATTACAATCACGGTTAAAATTTTATAAAATTAGACAATAACGTGAACTAGACAATTACAAAATCACATTAAAAACTATAGTCACTATAAAAATTGTATGAAATTAGATAATAATGTGAACAAAATAGCCACACGATCATTGTAACAATTGCAATCATGATCAAAATTCTATAAAATTAGACAGTAACATAAACTAGAAAACCACGCAATCACATTAATAATCACAATGACAATAATAAAGATAATAAATTTTGTTGTCACTATCCAAATTTTAAGATATTTTGAAATAAATTTTACTTAATACTAAAGAAATTTTGTCTAATTTAGTTGACCATCTTTATTAACAAATTTGTCGTGTTTGAATAAGTTAAGTTTGAAATGAAATTTGAGATTTAAGTTTCTAATGCATTTTATCGAACACTATTTGGACAAATCTGTACAATCGAGTGATACCCAAATGGGTGATTGAAAATCAAAAACACAATGTTAACCCGTCATGTTTGAGCTCACGAAAATCTATGATCCACTCTCTAAATTCACAATTTCCCATCCATTCAACAAGAAGCTATTATAACAATCTTTTCAACAAAAAAAAAAGTACCCGTAGAATAATAGTGTCTCTATCCATCGATGCCCAAAGATTCCATAGTCGGACTAGGGTTAGGTGGGCATGGACACCTCTACTTTAGAGAATCCCGATCCCTTATCCTGTACCTGCGTTTCTGCTTTTTGCCCCACTTACTTCATACTGATTGGCCAAACTCCTACAACGACCCACCAAACAAACAGCTGTTAATTGCCACATCACAACTGAGAAGTTGCTCACCTAGGATTTCCTGAAACACTATTCCCAGAGAAATTCAAAAACGAGAGTGACGCCCATAAGAAGGCCAAGTGGCAACTAATTCCTTGAAATGAATATTTGTTCTTATCCTCTGATATCTGCCAACGGGGAAGATCTCATACCTATCTCCCCCCTTTCTCTCTCTCTCTCTCTATATATATATACACACACACACACGAGAGGGAAGCCGTGCCTAAAGGCACGAGAGAAGTGATAGATTTGGGATATGAGAAAAATTTAATGCAAATAGTTTTAAAGGAAATGTCAATGGTAGTTAAATGAGATTCATGATGCAACATAAATGAAAAGTAATAAATTTGGGATATGGAAAAAAAATAATTTAAATGATTTTAAGAGATGGATGTTGGGTACTGAATTTATTTAAGTTTGTCTAATTTTATATTATTGATTTGTTAAATCGACAATATACTTATATACACACTTTTTGTTGAAGTGATGGAGAGAGACGGCCAATAGTTGGAGAATTATTTGAAAAGAATGAACAATATTGAGGAAACTGGAGATGGGTCACCAGTGTTATATGATGATGATGAGGATTTGAATGTTGGGGAGGTGGTCGAGGGAAGAATGGAGGTGGTGGTGGCTTTGGGGAAGAAGAGGAAGAAAATGAGAAGAGGGATAGAGCCAAAGGAAGGATGTGATGAAACAATAATAAAGGAGGGTCGTTTACAAGACCCTTTAATTGCGTTTGGTTCAGATATAATGATGATGATACTGAGCCATCTTGACGTAGGCAGCGTGGCACTCTCTCTTCTTGTCTCTCCTAGGTGGAATGGAGTTGCTTCCAACGATAGGCTTTGGACCAGCAAGGTTTGTTTTTTTTGATCTTTAATTTTTAATTTTGTGTGTTTTGGTTGGTTAATAACTGCTAAGTTGGGTTCATATTTCATGATAATTGGTCTTGTGCTGAGTTGTAGGGTTATGTTGGGTTTTGGTGTTGGGTTCTATTTGTTTAGAGTGGGGTTTTATTAGAACCTAATATACTTCACTTACTTTTTCATATGCTCATATGAATAGTGGCCCCAGTGGGGTTTGGTGATAGTGGCTTGTTTCCAAATTTAGACAGAATTTGACATCTGGTTTTACTTTTTATACACAAATAGTCCTTACTCTGTATAGAGGAATTTCTGTGAGATAACCAACAACAGAGCAAGACTTTGGAGAGCTGAAATTAAGCATGGCCAGAATGTATTTGTTAGGCGGATTTTAGGTGTGATGTGTCAGTACTTGTTACTATAACCTCAGAAAAAATAAACCAACAAATTTGTTAGATTGTTGAAGTAGCACAAAGGAAAGACAAAAAAATGGGCAGTGAAAGGGGCTAGGGAATATGTAGGGGGTACTAATGAAAGAGCAACACCATTACTATAAATGGTAATTCTAGGGAGAGGGTACAAGATTATAGATAAGCACATGATAGTATGTGTATTGTTAGAGAATATAATTATAGATAACGGGGAAGGGGGAACCAGGATTCCTGTCACACCCCAAGCTGGAAGGTTAATGGCGGACTACACCTGTTATCCATGACAATTGATATTGCATGATGTAAATCTAGCTCCATTCTCATAGATTAAAATTGAAGTATATATCAAATTGTCATAGACCCAAAGCCTGGGTAAGATACACTCACAACCAGTAATATACACTAATACAAATTTTATGCATTTTTATAACCATTTTCAACTCATAACTCCCTCTTGGTCAAGCTAGCCTGCATAGTGGCCTATCTCTAAACTGTGTACGTTTAGATGATGAGTGAGGGGCGAGCTAACATACTCAGTGAATATTCATAGTTCATGCATATAGATACCCTGATTAAGGATGAAAATTCTCGTTTTGGTTCCACTGAAACGACCAGAGCATTTTGGTACCCTAGGAACCAAAACGATTCAGTGATTGAATATCGAAATTCCCAAATCCATAATTATGCTTCAAAATGTTTGGAGGTGATTCGTGATTTTTCAATATATTTTGATGAATTTTTTGGAAATAAATTTTTATTTTTTCTTTGTTTCAATTATGTTTATGAAAAATTTTCAAAATATTTGCAAACCGTTTCCATTTTTGAATGACCATAACAATGCAATGAAATGAAATTTTTATCCTTGTATATCATAAGACGCTTATACACATAACCCTTTACATTGAGACTTAAATTATGAAAGACTTGTAGCAATTCATCATAGGCAAATCCTCATACTTTTGGTTAGAATAATTCAACTTTTGATATGGTCATTGCCTGCACCCGTACTACTTCTCCAACTAGTACTGCCTCCCCAGCGACGGAGTGATCNTAGCAATTCATCATAGGCAAATCCTCATACTTTTGGTTAGAATAATTCAACTTTTGATATGGTCAGTGCCTGCACCCGTACTACTTCTCCAACTAGTACTGCCTCCCCAGCGACGGAGTGATCCCGTATATATTTTCCTCTCCTAGGCAAGCAGATGGACTGCAACCTAATTTCCTCAGTTATTCTCTGCTCTAAAAAGAGCATTTGGACGATCACTGATATTTTATACATATCATAGTCTCATGTTTTTGGGAATCAATGATCCAGATCATAGAACCATAGATAATAATTCTAAATTTAAGTTTTACGTCACAAAACTACTTCACTTGCACATATATATAATTATATATTTATATTTATACATGGAGAGAGATTTTCTTATGTAAATGAGTTAGTCCATCCAACTTAGTCCATTGATAACTCCACGGAATCTAGAATTAACTGTTAGGTAGAGTAAAAGTAGTAGTAATTGCTCCCGAACCTAACACACTGAATAGTGAAGAGCACTTGTGAATATCAAACTTGCATTCTCATATGAGAATGAGTACGAATCTGCACTACCTGTACTAGGCTCATGTTCTTCCCCCAACCTTTTTTTATATAAGAACACTATATTTTACTTACCAATAAATTTACAAGTTAAATAGTTATGTTAGGTTTTTTGACAACAAGGTTGTAGTAAACATGGACTAAGGTAAACATGGAAGTAGGTGAGGTGATTACTAAACTTCGGAACTAGTTTAGAGCAGATTTGGCAACAAAATGGATGAAATGTGATCAGTTTCGGCTACAGAGAGTTCTGATAGTCATGCCTTGCCATATGCTTATATGATTTCTTGAATAGTTTGCTCCGTCTGATCTCCTTAGTTCAGTTGATGCCTGGTGTTTGATGCAAAGTCTTTTAGTTAAGTTAAGAACTAGTATCAACAATCCAATTTTAATAGTAGGTTGGGTTTGTATCACATGTGGCTCACATGGCTCGCCTTTTAGCCCATAAAAGCAGTGTAAAGGGCTTTTGGTTTTTCTTGTTTAGTTGTACAAGCAAGATGACAGGAATCGTACAATGCAACTAGAAGTTCTTAGTGGGATTCTAAGGATATTTGAAGGTTAAGAGTCTCAAGACCAGTGTAGAATGCAATAAATAGAAGTATTTAACAATGTAGACTGTGCAGATTCAAAGCAAAACAGAAGATCCAGTTTAGGCTATTGCACCATGTGTGAGAGAAACTTGTCACTTGGTGAAGCAAGAAACAAGTTGGGGTAGCTCGGTCAAGTGGAGAAACACAATACAGAATCACAGATTAATGGATCATATAGTTTGTGATCTTTTTTCGGCAACAAATCTTAATTGATGAGTTGAGAATTTATGATGATAGACTTGGGAGATTGTATCATGACAATAAATGATGTCAATTGTAGTAGCCCTGGTGTCAATTGATGTGGATCATACAACTTGGATACCAATTTGATGAAGATTAGGAAGAGAAATAATTAGAAAATGAGAAGAGAAGAAAAAAGGGATGAGAAATCAGAAGAAAGAGGAGAACTTGGGGAGCAAACAATATCAATGATCAATAATTATCAAAGTATGCCAAATAAATATTAGGCAAAAAGACCATTAAGTCCCCAAAGAGTAAAATGACAAATATCTCCTAATTACTATGTCTACGCCTATTCTAATGAAAAACAATACAATTCCCTTTATTAACACTGCTATTAACATTGCTCCAATATAGCATGATAGAACCACATATGTTGAGATTCCTGGACAGTTCATCAAAGATAAGGTGAATAAGGGTTTGACTTGTATGTCATTTTTGTGATTAGAAGATGAGTTGGCTGATCTCTTCACTATGCGGCTTAATGGGAAGATTTTTCACTCTGCAATTTCCATGGTGGGCATTAGGGATTTTTGTGAACCATATTGATGGGGGAATGTTATGCTATGTGTTATTTTTCCTATTTTAGTTTAGGGGTATTTTGTACTATAACATCCTTTAGCAAACATATGCTCGAGTGTAACTGTGTGATAATACATGTAATACATTTCTCTCTTCTGCTCTAAATCTCTAAAACCGTGTTGTCAAAATGGAAGNGCTATTTTAGTTTAGGGGTATTTTGTACTATAACATCCTTTAGCAAACATATGCTCGAGTGTAGCTGTGTGATAATACACGTAATACATTTCTCTCTTCTGCTCTAAATCTCTAAAACCGTGTTGTCAAAATGGAAGTTGATATAGGTTGCCCAGCTTTTTGGGTTGTGTTGATGTGGATTAGCCGGTGGCTTTTAAGTAAATTGACATTCCATTCTTTGGCAACTCTCAATCAGTAATTTTTTGGAAACTGTAATTTGGAAACCTCCTTGAAAGCTAGTGATCATATGGCTTGAACTGCATTGCAATTTGTGTTGGTTCAATGAATTGTAAGATATGAGAATTTCTCAGTCTAATTCTGGTTATGGCTTGCACCGAAAAACTATTTTTACTCGAATTTATGGCCCTGTCAACCATATTTTTAATTGAGTTATCTCCACTCCATTTTTGTGGTCGCATCTACGTAGTAACTGTCAGCATCCACTTCCGTTTTGTTATTTGTACTGTCTGTCTTTAACAAAAAAGTTGCTTTTCTTTATAGTGTGAAGAATTATGGTTTGGAAAAACACACATACCTCGCATGTTACAATTCAGGGGATTGTCAAAGTTGGATGTTTATTCCATGTCTATGATGGACGGCAAACGTGTGAGTGAATAGCAATCTCTCTAATGGAGACACACAATCACGTGCATATTTTCTGTTTTTGGTGCATTAACTGATCCCAAAGTTGTTGATGTTATCAGGTTCGCATCGTGAAGGATGATCTATATGATCATGCTTGGGAATTCCATTTTAACGAGGTATGTGCATTTTTTGATTAAGTGCATGACTTGTGGTTTGCTACAAATTGACTTGATCCATTGTCTATAAAGACTATTGTCGTTGATACAGGATAAGATAGTGACAACTTGCAGAAGCTTGTGTAAGTTTGAACCATCAAACTAGTGAAACATTTAAAGAAATTGGGTTCATAACTTCTGTTATCTGATTTTCCAAAACCCATATTTCCACTTTTTAACTTCTTGTTAATATCTTCTAGTTCTTGCAGAATGCAACTTTTCTATTTTTAATGATTTGGCTACTTGAGTGTATTGCATTCAACTCTGCAATTAGCACATTGCCTTGCTCTTGTGACTAAGCAATTGACCTCTTCCAAAGTACACAACCCTTCCTTCTTATATAGTTATTGTAGTTGAAGATATGGTGGTGGTGGAGGTTGTGGTCCACAAGGATCACAATTTTTTTTCGGTATTAATTTTCATTGGGCTCAAAATGGTATTGTTTAGTTAATTTCAAGAAAATTTTACAAATAGAATAAAAAAAATATAAATTTGAATAATTTGTTTTTGAAACATTGGTCAAAACATGACAAAACATTTCAAAGCACTTTGGAATACCTCAAAACATAGGAATTTCTATATTCAGTGATTGATTTGTTTCGATTTCCATAGAAACAAAAATGTTTTGCTTATTTCAGTTTAAACAAAACAGAGTTTTAAACTTTGGTGGTTGGCGGTGGCTGCAATACTTTGCTTCACTCCTGTAAGCTGTGTAGGGTGTCGCTGAATAAGTTGTGCATTACTTTCTTTCAATCTTGAACTAAACACGCATGCCAAATGAGTACTTACATAAGTGTCATAACCTTTCTTCACTTTTTCCTCATTTTTTGTCAAAGTTTGATATATATTCTGCAAGTAATAGTTGCCAAATTTCAATGTAATCTATATGCGCATGACAATGATATAATTTGCTTGAACACATTCACCCCCTCTAATGAATCTTTACTGACCTATCTGACAAATTATCCTTTTTGCCCTCAGGCGGCTCCAGATTATTGGCCAAATCTTGATCCTTACAGGGAGGGCATAGGGCCTCCCATGCGACGCTACTTTCATCCAGATGGAAGCCAAAGTGCAGATCCAGGTGACAAAGTATAGGGAGGACATGAATCCTGTTATTATACTGTTACAAGTTTTGTGGGTGATGGGTAGATCAGGGCACACAATGTGAGGATCAACCGTTGGCCTGAGATATCTGTATCAAGGAAGCAGGATTGGAGCTAGGAAATGTCCAACCACCTTTACTGCTACTCCAGTATCCTAGACACTGATAAGGAAGGCGGGACGGGTCCCTTGTTTCCAATATGTATGTCGGGATTTACTTCAGGATATGCTGATACAGAGAGTGGACCGGATAAGAAAGGATCAACGTTGGGCCTGCTGAATTGAATGTGTATACTGATGGTGGTAAAAAATCGAGAGACATGAGGTGGAGAGCTGGATGAGCTCTAGTGGGTGTGTCATGTGTGTGTAAAGATAAACGAGAATACACAAAAAAATAAGTGGTTCATCAGTTGAAAAACTTGACTAATCTACTGTAATGGAAGCTTCTTGCTCCTTGAATGTATNAATGAGCTCTGGTGGGTGTGTCATGTGTGTGTAAAGATAAACGAGAATACACAAAAAAATAAGTGGTTCACCAGTTGAAAAACTTGACTAATCTACTGTAATGGAAGCTTCTTGCTCCTTGAATGTATATTGCTTTTTTTAGGAAGAAGAGTACAATAGGGTTTTTTCTTTACTTGAGACTCCTTTTTATATAGTGATCATTGCCAACCAAAGCTTATGTGCAATGCGCTTTTGTCCACGGACCTAATGTCCAATAGACTACATTGATGTATTATTTCTCTGTAATTGATTATATAGAGTTTAACCCTATTTATAGTGTGAGAATTATACAAAATAAATATAAATTATATATTTCTATCATCATATTTATTTATCTAAACATACCTAAATATCTTAACAATGTTGTTTTGTGCGGTGGTTGGCTATTCGTGGTTTAGTAATCAATCATTGATATTTATGTCTTGTTTAGTACTGTGGAAAAATTGATGGTTGAAAAGTTGGAGGAATATATAAAATATCATATTTGGTAAGACAGAAAAATAGGAAAGATAAAAAAGTGGATGAATGAACTTTTCTTCCAACTCACCAAAATCAATCCTTCCAAAATTGAAAGGAAAGTTGATAAAAAATTAATTATTTGTGTTTTGTCTATATATTTTTTGATATATACATATATTATGTATACATTAGTTTCATATATAAATACAATGATAATATTTATATATATATTTTAAAAATTAAAAAATTAAAAAAAATATTTTTTCCATCTTACCAAGTACAAAAAAAAAAATTAATTACTTTTATTTTTCATTTATTCTACCAAACACAAAAAGAGAAAAGTGTATCATTCATATTTTTTTTCTTTGGAAGATAAAAAATGTATCACTTATAATTTTCATTTTTTCTACCAAACAGAGTATTATGGTAAGATCTATCTTGTGGAAATGTGCAAGAAAAATCAAAATCTATTTTCGAAACTAACATTAAATAAGTCTCTTTTCATGTACGGTATGGGTCCGGTTGACTAAGTTAAGTTAACAAATTAAATCTAAATAGAATAATTATTTGCAATTTTACATTCCTTGCATATAGTTGATTCTGACAATATGCGATAAATTGAACTTTTCATTTGATTCTCATAATGTACATACGATGGATAACCATAATCTACTTCGATCCTTAACATCATGGTTTAAGGTTACGGTATCGGCTCTCAACTCAGGAAGACACTTATATATATCGGTCGCGGTGTCGCGGCACTGTATTGGCCGATACGAGTGAAATGCTTGATAAAAAGTCCAAAAAATTCTAATAACATTATAAAAAATATATACAACATAATTCATGCATCATATATCCTAGATGGATAAAATTCAAATTGTAATTATTGTCTTTAAGTTAACTATACAAACCGGGTAAGTTATTTTCATCATAAAAATAAATCTAGATCTAATATAACTTTAATACTTAATTATACATAGTCAAAAAAGTTGAAAAATATAGAAAACATTATGTTAATTTATGTTTCAAAATATATAATTTTTTTTGAGAAATTTTATTGTACTTATAAATTACATATGCATTATGTTTTTAATTGTAAAATCTGTTTTTATATGTATACTAGGGATAACCCATGTCTGAAGACACGGTGTAACGTAAACTACCTGTTTAATTTGAAGAAGTGATGAGTGAATATCCAAGAAAGCAGTGATGGAGTAAAAAATATGATCTAGATTGGATACACTTTAAGTACAAGTTTTATTGTCTTTAAAAGATAAAAATAATGTTATATATTTATATTTTTTTATATCGGATTTGATACTTAAAAATTCATTAAACATAAAATGGGTCTGTTTGAAAAAAATTAATAAGATAACATCTATACATCAAAGATCAGTTATATAATTTATTTCANAAAGACACGGTATAACGTAAACTAACTGTTTAATTTGAAGAAGTGATGAGTGAAGATCCCAGAAAGCAGTGATGGAGTAAAAAATATGATCTAGATTGGATACACTTTAAGTACAAGTTTTATTGTCTTTAAAAGATAAAAATAATGTTATATATTTATATTTTTTTATATCGGATTTGATACTTAAAAATTCATTAAACATAAAANCGAAACTAACATTAAATAAGTCTCTTTTCATGTACGGTATGGGTCCGGTTGACTAAGTTAAGTTAACAAATTAAATCTAAATAGAATAATTATTTGCAATTTTACATTCCTTGCATATAGTNGTTTTTTTGTTCTAGTGTCCAACTTGTCTGACCCAATTAATTTTGTTTGTCATAAATTANAAAAAAGTGGATGAATGAACTTTTCTTCCAACTCACCAAAATCAATCCTTCCAAAATTGAAAGGAAAGTTAATAAAAAATTAATTATTTGTGTTTTGTCTATATATTTTTTGATATATACATATATTATGTATACATTAATTTCATATANATATATAAAACATATATAACTAAAAAATATATATATATTTTCCAGGGTGGCCTAGATCCTTCTTGCCCTTTCTCCCTCCACCACTACTTGAGAGAGAGAGACTGACGAATGAGAAAATGAAGGTAAAATTCAATTTAAATGATTTTGAGTGAGATGTTGATGACTATTTAATGAGTTTATTTGGGATTTTCAGGTGAACTTATTGAAGTCTATTCCATTTTATATTATAGATAAATCTCCAAAATATGATAGAATTGACTTAACAAAAACATTAATTTATATACATGTAATCAAAATCGAGTCAAATTTAATACAAACTAAAAATCCAATTTATCAAAAAACACATCTCCAAAATATTTTCTATAAAAAAAAAGATCTACAAATATCATTTATAAAATATTATTTTTTAATTAGTACAAGTTATTACAAAATTAAAAATTTATAAGAATATATTAGTGTTAATTTTCTTAAAAGATTAAAAAAATTAATTTTGAACTTTTGATTCAAGATATGAGTAAGACATATTAGTTTGAGATAATTAACTAAATAAATAAAATTACAATTAATTATATCNCAATTAAGAATATCCAAAAAAAAATATATAACTAAAAAATATATATATATTTTCCAGGGTGGCCTAGATCCTTCTTGCCCTTCCTCCCTCCACCATTACTTGAGAGAGAGAGACTGACGAATGAGAAAATGAAGGTAAAATTCAATTTGAATGATTTTGAGTGAGATGTTGATGACTATTTAATGAGTTTATTTGGGATTTTTAGGTGAACTTATTGAAGTCTATTCCATTTTATATTATAGATAAATCTCCAAAATATGATAGAATTGACTTAACAAAAACATTAATTTATATACATGTAATCAAATCGAGTCAAATTTAATACAAACTAAAAATCCAATTTATCAAAAAACACATCTCCAAAATATTTTCTATAAAAAAAAAGATCTACAAATATCATTTATAAAATATTATTTTTTAATTAGTACAAGTTATTACAAAATTAAAAATTTATAAGAATATATTAGTGTTAATTTTCTTAAAAGATTAAAAAAATTAATTTTGAACTTTTGATTCAAGATATGAGTAAGACATATTAGTTTGAGATAATTAACTAAATAAATAAAATTACAATTAATTATATCTACTATAAATGTGTTAAGCATCACCCTTATTTTTTTATTTGTTAAATTGATGAGTTTTTTTTAATCAAAATGTTATCATTGTGTTAGATAAAAATTCAAAATGTTATACTACATATATGATATTAATGACAAATTTTACCCATTTAATTATTATGTGAGAGAAAATACTGTATTCCATGATTAGCCGTAATCGTTGATCGATTTTGGAGAAAAAATTAAGGAAAAAAATGGTAATTTTTTGACTATTTGATGAATTTGAGACCGTAAAATATGATTCAAGATCAGTCGTAATTGTTGATTGGTTGGGAGGGAAATATTAAGGAAGTAATTTTTTGACCATGAATTTGAGATCGTAAGATGAGCTTCTTGAAACTGTTTGTTTTATATTATAAATTAATAAGAGTATAATTTTATTAAAAATTAAAACTCTTATTTGTCTAATATAATAATATTTAGTATAGTAATAGTAGGCTGAGGTGAGAGACCTAGACCAACCAAGGCACAAAAGCTCCAAGCGGCGAAGAGAGAAACAGAGCCTTATATACTCACCGTCGGTGTTGCCTGTGCGAAGAAAACAAGAAGGCCGCTGCTCTGACGCTCGAATGGAGAAGAAGGAGCTGTCGTCGGCGTCGCTGCTCTGACGCTCGAATGGAGAAGAAGCAGCTGTACAATATATCCGCTGTATGTAACTCGATAACTGTACAGGACCTACAGGTTTTTCTTCGAATCCTTTCAATTTCTGTTTTAGGGTTTGTTGATTTCTGCTACTTTGGGTATGTGAATCTACATGTGGAATTGGTCTTCTTTTTCTCCCCTTCTCTTTTTTTTTTTTTGGTTTTTTTACATCGATCTCCTGATGATTCGGTCCAACTCGGTCTGACTCGGTCCGATTCAAACGATTCGACTCCGATTTGAAC